GAGTTTGTCATCACCTCAACGACAAGCTCCTCGGCGGTGGCAGCCCCCACTGGAGTTCAGCAGATGCCGCCGAAGGTTGACTCGCAGCCTCCTTCGTCGTCATCGTCTAATCTACAGTCGCTGTCGTTGCAGCATGAGGCTTTGTTCAGGAAACTAAAGCTGAACCTTTCAACCACAGCGCCGCAGATGAACCCCATACAACGCATTGGCATCGCTTGTGCTAAGGCGAAATGCATTCCGCAAGTGAGCTTCAGCAGCTGTCCTTCGTCGTGCTGCACATTGAAGGTGGACGAAGTCCTTGTTGCCCAAGGCTGGGGTACTAACAAGAAGATTGCCAAAAACGACGCGTTCACCCGATTTGTCGCCTTTTTGGAGTTACCCTACTTTCAGGTCGCTGCCGATCCTCAAAACGGTGGCCAATTGACTTTCTTCGCGTCGATAAATCCTATTGGATCTGACGCCGCTCAGGAAACACCGGGTGATTCTGTCAACGCCTCCTTCGGTAAGCGTCGCTGAAACGCGACGATCGTTCGTTCATCCATTGAACGTCAGTCGTTGTTTTATGTCATTGTTTCAAATCAACCATTAAAGTTTATAAACGTTGTTCGTAGTGCTTTATTGCTGGCTTTTCTCTAGATGGTTCCGGCGCTGAGGAGCTCAGAAGCATGGTGCTGTTTGAGTTTGTTGGTCGCGCCTCTGACGTCACTCCCACCAACATTCTAAACACTTCTGCGCAATTTAACCACTTCGACGTCGAGTACGTCAATCTGCCGGCAGACCTCAGCACGGCTACCGGCGACTGCCGTTACAGGTATTGTTCAGACGTTAAACGTACGCTTCTGTGATGCTGCTATGTCGCATTTGGCACTGATCAGTTTGTTCTGTTAAGATCATCTGATACAACATATGGCTGGTTTTCCATACTAATTTGAAAATCACTTTATTTCGGCATTGCAACATACCATGACCTATGTACCTCTGTTCTAACATATTCATATATTAATACAATAGTCAGCGAAAGTACACATAAAATACTTAAATTGATTTAAGGCAAGAAGTGTTGCGATTGATAGTTGTTGCAAGAAAGGTTTCCTTTTCGTGGCTAAGACATCTGATCTCTGAGCATGTGATAGCTGATCTAAATCACGTTTCTTCTCTCTGTTGTTGTGCCCTGTTGAAATGAACAGGCATTTGAACATTTGAAATTTTTTGTATGCGGTACCCCGTTATGGTACTTTTTATCATCTCTTTATAATAAGCACGGCAAACTTCATAATACAGGATGTTTGACTGAACCTTTAGTTATTTGCAGATATCCTCGGTATGCCTGCTGTGTTTCAGGCTGGCTTTCTACGCTTACTCGCCGAAGTTAGCATGATACACAGTCTGAACAAAACCGAAGATTCTCAGCGTTCGAGAAGGGCTACTCACTGTGCCCTGCAGATGATTAGAATGCAGTGGAGGCCGATACAAAGGTCGTTGTTGATAAAATGTTTTTTGCCATTCACGTAATACTTTTCAAAGTAGTTAGTGTTCTTCAAAGGAAGTTTTCAAAGGCTTCTTACAACTGATTTGGTAAATATTTAATTAATGCAGTTTATGCAATAAATTTAAATAGATTTATTGATTTAATTATTTAAATAGTTCAGGTCCATGGTGTGTGGAACCTCAATTGAAAGGTGTGAACCATCGGTGGTTACCTTAAGATTTGGTGTAGCCCTGTTCTTCTGTTTTTTTTGATAACCAACCGTCCTGAGACAAGGTGTCATGGCTTTTCTAAATGCATTTTGAACATCTTTAATATTTGATCATGGCTGTAAGAGTACGCGGATGACATTGTAAGGGGAGACGTGAGTTCAAATGGGATACACATATTTACAATTTGATCATGTGACATGACACTGCGTTGCTCTGATCTTCTATATTTCTTCCTGCTTGCTAATCTTGCATTTTGTCCTTTAAACTGCAACCCATACACAACTCTTTTGCATGTTTTGTTGTTGTTCAGTATTTTTGATTGGATTGAGGGGGTTGGGGATTGGTACTGTTAATTCATTACTGTACTCTAACGGTACTGAATCTAAGAACTGTTAGCAACTGTGTCGTGTTCGATTTCTTTCGACAGTAAACAAATCAAAATCGGCGTCGAAGCAGACTGTGGCAAATTATACACCAAAACTTGGTTAGAGTTTGATGAACATGATTTATGTTTTATCAACAGATGATTTGAATGTGAAACTATTGTATGATACAAAGTTGACGATGGATGATCGTCATTGAATCTGTTGTTCGAAACAGGACTGCCGTTTATGTGCAAGGAGTGAAGGTCAGCGAAGGTGGTGGCTTCCGGAAAGAAGAGGCGAAGCGCAACGCTGCCCAACAAGCCCTCGACAAACTCAGACGCACGCAGTACACGATTTTGGTAAGCTATGCGATGATTCACATATCGAATGGATGTATGTCCTCGATTCATGTATATACTCGTATATATACATATATTGTTCAAAACTGTTCAGGTACTGGGAACCCTGGGCGTTCCACCTGTGCAGTTATAAACTGAATAGGCATAAGGTCGACCAAGAGCTTACAGGGGGTAAAATGGCTTAAATATATCAATCACTTAGCACCGTGTCGTCTTCGAATCTAGTCGATGGAACTTGTCTAGTTGACAAATGCCTGAATCACTTGAAACACTTCCTAATGCTGCCCCCTGAATGGAAAATAGCTAGGTCACGAAGTTACATGGACGCAGTAAGTAACCATATCACAGACCTGCTTGTCATTCTCCCCAGTGAATGATGAAGAGCTTGCGATCTGTTTTTATAGATTACATTATCAACATGAACCCTGTATGGTCAATAATGTGTATGCCAAAACGATCGCCAGCGAAGGATTCTTTATTTCGATAAGTCTTAAGCCTGATACAAATCCTTATTTATCCTCACAAGCCCTACGGTGTTTTCGTGGAATATCCTTGACAAACTTCAGTTAAACAGGACTGATAAGAATTCGCCTTGTGTGGAATCCATAAGTGATTGGGAGGTAGCGGTGAGCACTTTTGGTATATCCCCCGTAGGCTACGTTGTAATGTGCCAAATAAGGCGGTTTATTGTCTCCGTGACCTTAGAAGTTCCAATAAACTTTCCTTCATTTACTGGAGGAATGTCTACATTTCACGTTTAGAAAGGTCATCGCCCTCGGCTTCCATCGTTATTGATGTCGACATGCCGCTTGGTTCGTTTCACTACACGAAATCGTCATCAAAAGGATGTCACACTATTTGTATAATTAATATAATGGAACGAAAGCTTTTTTTGTTCGTTCCGCGGTTTCCATATGCTAGAAATAAGGAGAATGCCACTAAACTAGATACGTGATGTTTTTTGTTGTTAGATTCCCAGAGGGGCCATTTCGCTCTTCGCCATCTTGTTTTAATGCCTCCAGAAGATCGATTCGTTTGGAGCGTAAAAATCTGCATTCTTATTTTGCATGGTAAAATGCGTAAGAAATGTTGCCGGCTTCTGAAGCCTCATTGTTAATTAGAAAGGTGCGGTGACGGGGTAGTTATAGCTTTGGTTAGTACACTGAGATTAGATTTCCTTATGTAGTATTATTTTCATTTTTGTAATGTACAATTTCACAAGGACTCTTATTATCAACGAGAGGTCGTTTTTGAATCGGATAATTAATCTTGGGGGTGAGTGCATTTCGTCAATGTTGACTCTTTTTTGAATTTCTCTTGCATGATTGGTACAGAGCGTACATTGAACGGATTACGAAGCTGCCATGATTTCCAAGATAAGCGGACCCTGAGCCTAATAGCTATTCATAAACTGCAAAATATGCAACGCAGCATGGAAAGATGTATGTTGAGAATAACAAGAAAACACAGGAAAAGAAATGAATGAATGATATGAAGTCTGCAGCGTCATTGAACGAGTGAAAAAGTTGAAGTGGGAATGAGCAAAACACGTTGCATAAAGGACCGTCGTCGCTTGACAAAAACGAGACATCGGACTAGGCTCCAAGAGAGAGCAAATGGGTCGTATAGAGCTCTTTAAATTGATAGCAGGACGAGCGGTAAAATTTCATTGGATCCGGGTCAAAATGGACAGAGATCAGGGAAGAGAGATGTTTGTGATAAAGTCTTGGGGAGACCTTCTTCTAGCAGCGGATTTGAAAAGTCTGATGGTGACTGTGCCCGGTTAATCTCTACCGTAGAATATCCAGTTGATCGATAAACACTGGTCAATAAATACATTACGATGTCATACGCCGATTAAGGTTCAGCGGTACGAACTCGTAAGTGTTCTGATGGCATTAGTAACTTTCAGTTTTTTTGCATTTTCTCATCGTGTTTTCAGTCACTTTTTATTCTTCCTTGACCATTACCACTGCTTTATAGTATTGTTTTTGTACTAGGAAGTTAGGTGATTCTTTCTCGTGACCTCATTAAAATAGAGTCTTTTATTTATTTATCCCTCTATAAGACCCAGTGTAGAGTACGAAGTAGTTTTGCGACAACGGTTTTTAGGCTGTTCCACGAAGTTCGTGCGGTAATCGGTAGCGTATGATTTTTTCGAGTCCTTAGTCTTTTATGTTTTCCTCTTCAGACCAGAAAAGAGATTTGATAAGCATCGGCTTTGTAGAATCTGTTTCTCCAGCTTTGTCACATTTTAATCAGTCATACCAGCTGCAATTGAACATGATCCTTAACGAATCTAGCTGTTTTATGTATGTCAAAGAAGCAGATTCGCACACTAAGTGACAAATAGAACTAAAATAAACTTGATGTGATAAATAAATGATTAATTATCAGTAAATTAAAATGACTATTTATTATAAACTTAAAATGAAATTTATAAAGCATTTATTCATTTTTAGTCTACATTTTGGTAAATTCCAACTAGTTTATATTTATTAATGAAGATAATAATTAAAATGATCACTTGGTAGAGAAGAGAAGTAATAGCCTGACTTCATGAATGAAGTAAGAGAGCTCTTCACTGACATTGCTGTGTTGCCCTTACGTCTGATAGATTCGAATTAGAGAAGTTGCTTTTTTGGTTTCGAGAGGAAAGATTGTTCGTTGAAAGAAGAGAGTTTGCAGGGGCAGTGCGAAATCAAGGCTCGCTTACGAAGAACTGTAGAAAAACAGTTTAACTTAATCGATCCAACATACTGTTGCAGGTTGTTCCGTTTTGGTTAACACCGAGTACCTCAGTTAACACAGTAACATTGTAAGAACCATACACCAACAGGCCTCATCTCAGAAACGACGCCGTATTTTCGATCGATAGAGAGCGTGCTTGAAGATCACCAACATACCATTTACATCTATTTCGACAACCCTATCGTCGCCGATCGTGCGGTTGATCACAGTGTTGCTATTCCACTGGACGTGCAAATGTGCAGAAACATGATAGGAGAAGGTATTAAAATACCGAAACCCAGCCATTGATCTGCAGCAGATATATCGATTAGGGGTTATGAGAATTACAC